TTCAAATATTTGTCCTTCCATTCAAATTTTTTACTCCCTGTATATGCCTATCTACTTGAAATTCTCACCTTAGCAATCTCACCAAGACCAACATAATAAGGCTCTGTGAAACACGATAAGCACAGTGAAAGAACCAATGCTAGGAGCTGTGCAGCCTGCAAAGATAAATAAGACGTGGTCCCAGCTCCTAGGAAACCCAACATCATATAAGGGAACTAAGACAGTTACACAGCCAACTACTAACTATATAATCCAGACAGAATGTGCTATGCATTTTAAAAGAGGTATAATGAAAGTCAAAGGGAGTTCCTAACATGTTTTGCTCATTTTGCAAAACAAATTTAACAATAAAAATTATAATAGCTCACATATATTGAGGCTTACTACCTACCATGTACTGTGATCTACATGTATTACCTTATTTAATCCTTACAAAAACCCTATGAAGTTGTTTCTACTATTATCTTCATTTTATGGAGGAGGAAAAGAGCTAAAATCTTTTGAATGTGGCACTCTGCCCAGATGTTGTTTTTTTCCCCCCATTCAAAGACATGATTCAGGGAGCATCTGGGTGGCTCAGTCAGTTAGGCATCTGACCCTTGGTTTCCACTCAGGTCATGATCTCACAGTTTGTGAGTTCCAACACTGCCCTCCCCACCCCCCCACATCCCCCACTCTCAGCGTGGAGACTGCCTGGGATTCTCTCTCTCCCTCTCTCTCTGCTCCTCCTCCACACTCTCTGTCTCTCACAATAAATAAACTTTAAAAAAAATTCAAAGACGTGAGGGAAAAATAAACCCTCATATGGTCTAGAGCTGTGCTGTCCAATATGGTGCCCACTCCCCATGTGGTAATTGAACACTTGAAACATGGCTGATCCTAATGATGATGTGCATCAGTCATTAGGATGCACAAAATACACAGAGATATTGAAGATTTAGTACTGGAAAAAGAGTGTAACATATCTCACTAATAGTTTTATATTGATTAGATATTGAATTGATAAAATTTGATATAATGGGTTAAATAATATACAGTATAAAATTCATCTCATCTTTTTTGTTTTTGTTTTTTGTTTGTTTGTTTAATTTTTTTTAATGTGTATTTATTTTTGAGAGAGACAGAGCATGAGCAGGGGAGGGGGAGAGAGAGAGGGAGACACAGAATCCAAAGCAGGCTCTAGGCTCTGAAGAGTCAGCACAGAGCCTGATGCGGGGCTCAAACTCACAAGCCTTGAGATCATGACCTGAGCTGAAGTTGGATGCTTAACCAACTGAGCCACCAAGCCACCCCTTTGCTTTTTGTTTTTTAAGCTTTAATGTAGTTACTAGAAAATTTTAAATTATATGTGTAGCTTTCACTATATTTCTATTAAATAGCATTGGTTTAGAGTGTTGGTAAAGCAATGAATTACCAACCAAAAACTAAATAAATAACATCAACCGCAATCCTCTATGGTAGTAAGCAATCAGGAAGTAAATGCCAGAAATAAGGGCAAAAAAATATCCCATCTTATGCCTTTTTTTTTTTTTTAAATCCTCCTTGGAACATTATAAAACAAAACAAAACAAGTACTTTCTCTGGGTTTAGAATCAATGACAATGCAGTCACAAGAAATACATCCAGCACCATCTTGGTTTCTAACATCATTCATTTTGGAGAAATGCAGGAGTAGAGGCTATACAGGATGAGCCTAAAACATCTTTTTGTCTTTTGGTTTGTTTTTTGAGAGAGAGATAGGAGGAGGGGCAGAGGGATAGAAAGAATCTTAAGCAGGCTCCATGCTCAGCGTGTAGCCCAACATAGGGCACAAGCCCACTTCCTTGGGATTATGACCTGAGCCAAAATCAAGAGTCAGACACTCAACCTACTGAGCCATCCTGGAGCCCCTAGAACATCTTATTATACCAGAAAGTAAGGTAGAGCTACAAACAAAATACAACAATGGAGACATATGAAAGGAACACAGGAACCAACCGAAAGATCTTCCAGTCACCAACCTGGCATAACTTGAGGAACAAAATAAGTAACATAGTGTTGGATTATAACACGAAGTATAGAATAAATAACCATGGGTGCATAATATAAATGCTTGAATTAATGACTGAATGAATATGAAAGAATAGACAAATCTCCCATACAAAAGAATTCTGCTCTTCAAAGACTTAGAGAGTAACTCCTCTATCCCTTAAGTGTAAGCTGCATTACTGACTTCCTACTTCCTACATACTTCCAAGAAAAAGTATGGAAAGGGAGTAGGGGAAATGGAGTAACTTTACAGGAGGAAAAACCTGACAAACATTATCTCAGGCATGTGATGAAGCTTAACATCACCAGTGATAATCATTAGTGATAAGTTATATCGACAGCACATTCCCTTGAAATTGTAGGATGAGAATGGCACTTTGCCTCTGCAGTCTTCCCCTCAAAAAACCATAACCCCAGTCCAATTACAAGAAAAACATCAAACAAATCCAAATTGAGAGACTTTCTACAGAGGTGCCTGGGTAGCTCAGCAGTTAAGTATCCGACTTCAGCTCAGGTCATGATCTCACGGTTAGTAGGTTCAAGCCCCACACTGGGTTCTGTACTGGCAGCTCAGAGCCTAGAGCCTGTTTCAGATTCTGTGTCTCCCTCTCTCTGCCCTTCCCCCACTCATGTTCTATCTCCCTCTATCCCAAAAATAAATGAACTATAAAAAAATTTTTTTTTAATTACAGAGACTTTCTGCAAAAACTACCAGTACTCTACAAAATTGCCAAAGTCTGGGGTGCCTGGGTGGTTCAGTTGGTTAAGCGTCCAACTTCGGCTTAGGTCATGATCTCACGGTTTGTGGGTTTGAGCCCCACATCGGGCTCTGTGCTGACTGCCAGCTCAGAGCCTGGAGCCTGTTTCGGATTCTGTATCTCCCTCTCTCTCTGACCCTCCCCTACTCATGCTGTCTCTCTCTCTCTCTCTCTCAGAAATAAATAAAACATTTAAAAAAAAATTGCCAAAGTCAACAAAAACAAAGGTCTGCGAAACTATCAGTCTACAGGAGCCTAAGAAGACACAGTGACTAAATATAATGTGTTACCCTGGATGGGATCCTAGGACAGAAAAAAGAACATTAGGTAAAAACTAAAGGAATCTGAATAAAGTAAGAACTTCAGTTTAATAACCTATCAGTATTGGCTAATCAGTTGTGACCAATGTATCAAAGTATTGTAAGACCTTAAGAGGTCAAACCAGGTAAAGTTTACAGAGCATTCACTGTACTTTCTCTGCAACTTTCCTATAAACCTAAAACTCTTAAAATAAAAAGTATATTTTAAAAAAAAGGCCTCTTCCAGTTTGAAATTTTTAATATCTGTTGGAATCCTTATTCCAAGTCTTCTATAAACTTGTTATTCATTGCTTCTTAGCAATACAGAATCTCAGGCCCATTCCAGATGTATTAGTCAGGGTTTCCCAGAGAAATAGAACCAATAGAGAGAGAGAGAGAGAGGGAGAGAGAGAGAAAGAGAGAGAGAGAGAACAGTTATATTAGGAATTGTCTCATGCAATGATGACGGCTGGGAAGTCATATCTGCAGTGTGAGCCAGCAGCCTAGACACCCGGAGAGCCTGTGTTGAAAATGAAGTCTAAACGCAGTCTGCTGGACAACTACCCGTTGGCTGGGGAGCAGGGTCTTTTGTCTTATTCAGGTCTTAGACTGAATAAATTCAGCCCACATTAGAGAGCAATCTGCTTTAGCCAAAATTCACTGATTCAAATTTCAACCTCATCCAAAACACCCTCTAGGTTGACACATAAAATTAACTGTCACACCAGACCTGATAAATCTGAATCTGCATTTTAAGAGGATCTGCTGGGTAATTTCACTCATGGTCAAGTTTGAGTAGCACTGCTGTAGAGAACTCCTAAAAGGCCAGAATCCCACCCCCCCACCCCCACCCCAGCTTAAAGAGCTGAGTATCTGCATTGTAATTTCAGTAACTCAGACACAAGTCTTGATTTTTTGTTTGTTTGTTTTAATCTGGTAACTCTCCTAGCATTCACTGATCTGGAGGTGAGGGACACCTTCAGAAATCTCCACCCTCCGTACTGGGTAAGGTTAACCCTCCCATTTGTTCACACATGGACCTTAGCAAGCCTCTGACTTGGTTTTCAGAAGTACTGGCCTGTGAGTCTTCCCCGACTACACTGAACTGTCCAAGATCATCCACCACATCTTATTTTTCCTATCACCAGGACTTTATTACGATAACAGCCAAACTGAAACCTGTGGTCAGGACTGGAGGCCCACCTCTGTCCCACTCCCACTGCCCCGTCTTCCAATCCCCCACCCCACCCCCAGGGCAGACCGGTCCATTTTACTCTGAGTCAGCAAATGCCAGAAATTGCTATTCAAATTAGAACCAGAAAGACGTTACACACCCATATTAGAGGATTCTAGAAGTTGAAGCGTATGAAACTGACAATATTGGCTATTTTGACCCACAAAATCAGCTATTTCATAGGGACGAACAGTATGTTTCCATTCAGTTTTTTCCTCTTCAAAAGCTACTTTAGGGGCAACGTGTTGTGGCGGGTAGACAGTAGCAGGATTGCTAATATTCATGGCAATTCATTACTGATAAATGAATGTCAAATACACACCACCCATTTCCGAAGTTCCAAATAAGCCCTCCCCTCAATTATGCGCGATTCAAGACGCTGCCGCCTTCAGGGTCCCGTTCAACTGGTCCCGCAGGGGCAGCCCCTAAGCTTCACAAGGGAGGGGAGCTTTGATCCTCGGAACGCCGACGACCCCGCAAGCCCAGAGCCCAAGGGCCCGACGTAACACTGACCTCGCCCGGCCAGGCCACAACTCCCAGAATTCTGCTTTCCCCGCCCAACCGCTCCAGAGTTGCCCGAACCTAAGATGGCGGCGGAGGCGGAGGCGGAGGCGGTGCGGCCGCCTCTGGGCGGTGCGGCGGTGACAGGACGTAGCCGAGGGGCGGTGCCAGGCCCCGGGCGGTGCCGGCGCGGCCCGGGCCTTCGGCTGTCCGGCCGCCTCTCTCCTTTTTGCAGGTATCGCCCACCTGCTTCTCGCGGCCGTCATGAGGTCCCCGGTTCGGGGCCTGGCCTCGAGCGATGGTGAGGAGGGCTCAGATAGGACGCCCCTGCTGCAGAGCACCCCGCGGGTGGACGCCGGTGAGTAGCGAAGCCGTCCGAGGGCGGGAGTGGCCAGGGTACACGCGTCCTTGGCAGATGCGACCCGAGCTGCTTAGGGGTAAGGGGTCTTGAGGAAGGGAAGCCTAGGCGCGAGGGAATTCGAGGAGCGGGATCCATTCCCGGTCCCGCCGAGAGCCCGCCTGCCCAGGCGCCCAGAACCTGCTCTGGGGTCTGGCGGGGACCGTGAGGCAGGGCCGGGCTGAAGGCTGGGGTGGGGCCTCGGCAGATGCAGCCCCGCGGGGTAAGGGCAGGAGCTGCCGGGCGCCGCAGGCAATTTTCGATAACTTCTGTGCAAGAATGTGTTAGAGGAGAACCTGCAAATCAATGGGCAAAGGGCCGGGCGGAGGACCCGGTGTTAAGGGCCGACGGGGAGAGATGCCTGCAGATGGGTGCGCAAGGGGTTGGACGGAACCAGTCTGTCACCCCCAGGTTTCCGCAGCTGCTGTCCGCCAGCTTGCAATCTGGTAGCTCCTTGGGCGGAGAGGACTGACGTTAACATTTGTGTGTATATAGAGGAAAACTTGCACAACCCAGCGAATATCTTGAACTTGTGCCCACATTTTTTTTTTCCGTATGGTAGTCTACGATTTAAGTTAGAAAACAGTTTAGTTATCCTCTAGATCGGATATCTATAAAGCTCTAACATAATTTGTCAAAGGCCTTGCAACAAATAGAAAATAACTTTACAATGTATCTTCCATGAATTTGGGGAAATTGAAATATATTACTATTTAATATTTTTACAAATGTAATTTCTTTAAAAGTAGTTAAAAATAAAGAACACCTCCATTTGTAGGCATTCTGTACTTTCAAAGATGTGTGCATGAGAAACAGTTGAATTAGAAATTTGGCTTTTCCTGACCAGAAACAGGGTAGTCCTGTAGTTTGTATTATTATTATTATTATTATTATTATTTGTTTTTAACATTACCAGATGGTGGCAGTAGATGTGGCAACCTCGGAGCTCCATCCAGCATCCGGGAGCTGATTTTAGAGGCGGCTCAGTGTACATAACTGTACCACTGACATTTTACCTAGAAATTGGCCTTAGTTCCGTAAACTGCGCTTTTTCTGTGGCATATGCTGTTAGCTTCCTATAATTTTCTTCTGTAAAATAATCTAGTACGGAAATAAAGAACAAATGTAATTATCAAGATATTCCCTAGAGACTACTAAATTCTGTTGCAGTTGAGAAAATATATTTATATGTACCTTATCTATGCCTAAGTGTATACTTCTGATTTTCGGAAGAGAAAATGCTGGTAAAATAGCAGCTGTAAAATTTTACAGTAGTAAAAAGACTTTAGAAACTAACCATCTGGTGGTGCATCATTGTATACATAGACATCCCAGGACCACAGAGATTAAATTCCCAAAGGTTGCATGTAGCCACATTTGTGTTATATTTGAGAAATTCGTATTTGAAAAATGCTTAATCATTTTTACTTAATCCATCACAACTTTAAAAGTTCCCTACTACACCATCAGTAAGAGAACATGGTTTTAAATTATACATAGTATTTCTTTATTGAGAGCTAAAATTAAGATATGTTTCTTTAGGGTTAAGAATTAATACCACTCAGGCTGATGTAATATGATGGGAATTTTCAGTAACCTGACTATGGTTTGCCTCTCAAGCATTTGCTTTTACTCAGCCTGGTGGATTTCAGAGGTGCCCACCAAAATGATGGGGGAAGTTCAGCCCAACACTGATAAACAATATGAAGTCTATAGATTTTTCTGCCTAATGTAGGTAGGAGGAAGGGAAGGAACTAAACAAGGAAGAGCAAAGCTTCCCCTTCCACACATAAAATTTCATTCTTCACACTTGATACCAGTTGAAGGTTTACTTTTGTATGAATGACATGTGTCGTGTGTTTGATTAAGTGGATTATCAAAATACTGTTGCATCAAAAATGTGTTCACTCATGTCAGGAAAAAACAGTTTCAGGGCTCCTTAGACATTTCTTTGTGTTTAAAGACAGAGCATGGATCTGGAGCCAGAGTGCCTAACTGCCAAACCCAGCTCTGCTAACTTGCTGTGTGAGCTATAGCAATTACCTAAGCTCTCTATGCATTCCTTGTCAGTAAGTCAGGGAAAATAGTACACCTAATGTATAGGGTTCTTGTGAGGATTAAATGAGCTAATAGGAAGTGCTTAGAGTTTAGCACATACTAAATATTCCTATTATCATTATCATTATTATCAGTGAAGACCATTTGGATTTTGTATTCGTCAGAGAATGTGGGCAGAGCAAAATGAGGTTCCCATTCTTCATGGTCATACTCTACTGGACCTTGTGATTCCTAACTTATAGTTCATTCTATGCTTTGTTTTCATTGATGAGGAGAGTGGTGTTTCGTTTTGTTTTTTGCCTCTACTGTTCTGTTGCAGGGGTAACATTCAGGGCTTGTTTACACAAGCATTGAGTTTCACAAGTATACTTTATGTGTCAAATATAAGGTATGGAGTGCTGGTAGAGAGCAGCCATATTACAGAACAAAGGCAAATGGCCTTGGGTCATTGGGTCATTTGGGTCATGTGATAATCAATAGTAGCTGAATCCATTTTAGTGGAATTGGGCGTTTTCATATAAATGAGTATTAATTTGAGAATTAATACATAATGATTCATCAGGAATTAATTACCCATAAGGCAGAGTAAGACTAGTTGAATATTACTCTATTTATTTTTTAAATGTTTTTACTTATTTCTGAGAGACAGACAGTGTGAGGGTCAGAGACAGAGGGAGACACAGAATCTGAAACAGGCTCCAGGCTCTGAGCTGGCTGTCAGCACAGAGCCCAACATGGGGCTCAAACCCATGAACCGTGAGATAATGGACCTGAGCCAAAGTCAGACGCTTAACTGATTGAGCCACCCAGGCGCCCCGAATATTACCCTTTTCCAAGGCAAAACATATTACATTCATGTTAAAGATTTTTGAGACAGAGAGAGTGTGAGCAGGGGAGGGGCAGAGAGAGAGGAAGACAGGATCTGAAGAGGGCTCCACACTGACAGCAGCAAGCCCAATGTAGGGCTTGAACTCACAAACTTCAAGATCGTAACCTGAGCTAAAGTCAGCCACTCAACCAACTGAACCACCCAGGCGTCCCTAAGATTTTCCTTTTTTTAAGTGATCTCTACGCCCCCAACATGGGGCTTGAACTCACGACCCCAAGATCAAGAGCCAGCCATGTACCCTAATAGGAATTTTTTTGTAATGCAGTTCCTGGGCCAAGGGGGCTCACTGTGTCTAATGCCCATCCTCCTTTAGGGAAAATCATCATCTGCATGGGTGAGTGCTCCCAACCATGCATTTTCCACTCAGTCTCTCCCTCACTACTCAGTCCTTCCTTGCTTCTTCCCACTGCCAAACCCTTCTACAATGAATAAATACCTGGCATTCTAAGATTTTCACCAGCCTTCCCTCCACCCACACATCCTTGTTTCTACAGAAACCTGGCCTTCTGGACATATCATTTTCACTCATCGCTGCTGCTTTAAGGGATTATTAGTTTCTCTTGCCATGTTCTCATTGATAAGATTGACTCTTTCTTATTCCACACAAATGATGCTTCCTGACAATTACCCCTTCCTCTCAATGCCTGGTGACTTCCTACTCATTGATGAAGACCACTATGTCTTTTGTCCAAGAGGCATTCCCCGACCCCCGCCCACCCACCCCCCACACACAAGCAATTTAATGTGACTCTTTACCCCATGTTACACACATATATGGTGGCACTCTATCTTATTGGTATAACTTCATCCATGGTGAACAGGAAAGGAACTCACTTTTACTGAGTACTTACCACAACTGCCCTAGAGTATTTCATTTAATTCACATACAACCCAGTGAGGTGGATGGTGATTGCCTGATTTTAAGAGCCAAGAAACCTAAGAGTGATACTTTTAAGTAATTTCCCCCAAAACACACAGCTGGTGAGATACAGGACTGAGATTCATTCCCAGGCCTGCTCTTCTCTAAATTAGCCTGTGTTCTTTCAAGTACACCCACTCCACATTCCTAAGTTTAAACTATATTTAAGAAGCTGATGTTTGTTTTGATGGGTACTCTGTTCGTTATGCAAGCATGATTTTGCTTTGAACTTGATTTCAAGGTGGCAGATGCCCGATGGATGTTCTCTCTCTTCATGATGCAAGCATTCTTTTGTTGGACCAATTTCAAACGTTATCCAAATTCACAGGCACATTTTGTCTGATCACCATACTTTCTTGAAATAAAATTTTTCTGACTGATTTGTAAGCAATAACCATTTTTATAAAGTAGCAACCATATATTTTAATATCTCTTAAAACCTCATAGTCATATACCTTGTGGCATCTGTGTTGATTTATTATTTTCTGATTATTGACTGTGCCCCCAGAAAGTTAAAATTGTCTGATCTATAACTTCTATGTCATATTTTCAAGTAATGTCAACTTCTAGCCCTACATCTTCTTCATAGGATAAGGTATATCAAAATCCAAGGGCTCCTGGGTGGCTTAGTCGGTTAGCATCTGACTTCGACTCAGGTCATGATCCTGTGGTTCATGAGTTCGAGCCCCGCACTGGGCTAGAGCCTGGAGCCTGCTTCAGATTCTGTGTCTCCCTCTCTCTGCCCCTCCCCCATTTTCTCTCTCTCTCTCTCTCAAAAACATAAAGTTAAAATTTTTTTTTAAAAAAAAGATATGTCATAGTCCAAATCAAGCATCACATGGGGGAGAAACTGATTACAGTAAAATATAGTAACTGCAAATAGGATAGAAAGGAGTAACAACATTACAAGTCAGAATAGCATAAAATAAAGTTGTCTGGACTAATAAGTAAGCCGAATTACAAGTGAGTTCACTCCTCCCTTTCACTTAGTGCCACATCTAATATGTAGGCAAGGCCCAGTCAGTTCTGCTTTTAAATGTATATCAAATCTTCCCATTTCTCTCCATTGCCTCTGCTTTATCCTAGTTAAAGTCACCTTCATCTCTTTCCTGAAAAACTCTAATCGCCCCTTAAGTGATTTTTCTGAGTCTACATCTTCCGCCATGATTCACACTTCTCCCCCTTGGTAATTTCCACACAGCAACCAGAGAAGCTCTTGAAACCAAAAATTACCTGTTGTTACTCCTCTACTGAAGTAAGTAATGAACTTTGCAAATAGTACTTTGGCAAAGCAGGCAGTACATATATCTGGAGTTTTCTTACTCCAAATTATACCAAGTAACACAGTTTGGTTGTCCAAATTTTGCAAGATTTTGAGGCCCCCATCCAGATTTCTGGGTATTATTGACACAGAGCAATGATAAAGAAAACATGCCTTGCTGTATGCAAAGCCTCCCTAACTAGACAGCAGCCCATTTGGCTGGAGCAGAGTGTCTCGATTCAAGTAGCACAGACAGCATGAACAGAGCCTTAGAAAAACAGTTCTCACAGGTCTAGGTCTAACAATGGCAGTGGTGCCATAATTCTAAGAGCTGTACTCCGAAGGGAGTCAGTTGAAAAGTTCTCTGATAAGTGATGTATTTCCTACACATAGGAAAAATTGATAGCAGTTGTTAAGTGTCTGAAGGCATATAGAAAAGCGAGTTTGATCATAGTACTTAAGAATATCCCCAAGTATAGTTGTGCCATATATTCATTAATGCTGCAGTCTAAGTCGGTCAGTCTGAATCAGTACCAAGACCTGCCTACTCTGAAAAACATTCTTGTTTGAGGTTAGGTCAATGAAAACACCAGGATTCCTGAGTAGGGGGAAATGCATATGTAGTCATTAATATATGACATTACCCAAATAAAGCATACTTATATTCATATATAAGTATTGGACTTTAGATGGTCATTATGAAGTAAAATAGATGTTCATATCTTTCAACAGCTATTTATCACTCAGTGTTTACCAAACTTAAAGGTGTAAGACCCTGGATTAAACACTCTCTGTCACTAAGGGATCAATCAACCTTAACTTCCTAAATTCCTGTCCCCTCTCCAATTCTGCAACTCAGCAAAAGAAGAAAAAGACAGAATAATGTGCATACGCCTGTCATTAAAGTAAAAAAATAGATCAAAATTCCTCCTGTCACATGATCTTTCTTTCATTGGTTCCTCCAACCTATTCTGCCTTCCTTTTTTTTTTTTTTCTTTTTTAATCCTTGCGGTACCTTCACTTACTTCCTTTTTTAATTTGGGCCCTTTAAGCATGATCAACTGAGCAACTGTCACAGATGCTGCAACTGTCATAGATTCTGCACATTTGCTTCTGGATTCTTAAACACATTTAGTTTAGGAGGGCCTTAAGTATTAATCATGGCTTCTGATTCAACCCCAGCCTCTGAGGATACTTTTCAAGGTAAGAAATTTATCAAGAAGGTTCCATGCCCTAGCCTTAGCAGGAAATGTTTGTGCTGTGCTACAATTACAGTGAGATGTCCACTAATCCATAGTCAGTAGTATGTGTGCTATGCTGTAGTGAGTACTCTGGTATTTATTGGCCATGTTTAAGATAGTTTTGCAGAAACAGTGATGCCATTAAACCCCTTATCTGTTTCTCTCATCTTTGTCTACTGACAATTCTGAGTCTGTAATGATTTTTCTGAGCAAAGTTGGTAAAGCTATTGCCTTTGTGTTTTAAAAAAGCTCTCTTATAGTTCAGGCTCTTATGTGTTAAATGTTTATCAAAACTGCAGCTGCTGAGGACGGATTCTCTTTGATAAATGTTTTCAGATATGCTTAATCAGATTATTCTCAGAAAAATACTCCTTATTTGTGAATTTGTGTACTTCTAAAAAGTAACCTTTTTACTAATTTAGACGATATCATCTAAGCTATTCTTTTAGTGAAAGCTGTCCCCCAATATTTATTTCAGCTCCAGTGTGCTGCTCTGCTCGTTATAACTTAGCAGTGTTGGCTTTTTTTGGTTTCTTCGTTCTCTATGCATTACGGGTGAATCTGAGCGTGGCATTGGTGGACATGGTAGATTCAAATACAACTTTAGCAGATAATAGAACTTCCAAGGAGTGTGCAGAGCATTCTGCTCCCATAGAAGTTCTTCATAATCAAACGGTAAGTGCTACTTTCTAAACAATCTTATTCCTAAAATACGTCCAAGTAAAAGTACTGAAACATCTTTCTTCATCCTGCAGAAACCACAAACACTTACACATCATGTAAACTGAGTCTTTTTCCTCTGTGTTTTTCCAGGAACTAGTTGAACAGTAACATAACTACAGCTACTGCTGCTTGAAGATAATTTGGAAAAACCTGTTTAGCATACCAGAAAATTTGATTGTTTTAGATGTTGCTGAATAATTTTTACGGGACTGTTGTTCTGTTGCTGTTCTGTTTAAAGATTACGTTTGCAGGAAAGCTTGGGTCATCTGCAGTATGAAAAATAAGAACAGGTCAATTTCTTAGGACATTCTTTTCTAACACTTAGGTTATACCTAACCTAAACTGCTTAAGTCACTTTGCCTGCTTCATATTATAGTAGAATTGGTAAGTGTGTGCTCATCATTTGTTCAGAATTGAGTTTTATATATTGCAAACATTTTATTTTGCTTATCAGACAGAGATAGAAAAGGAGAAAAGGCTGGTGTCCTTTTTTATGAGTATCTTTTCATCCATTTCCAGTGTTCACAAAGAAGCCAGATCACACTTGGGTTAGTCCCCTCTGCGATTTGTAAGCAAGAGCATTCAGACGCAGGAAGTTTTTGCCTAAACAAACACACATACAAAATAGTGACTTAGCAAAAAAAATTTTATTTGACTCTAATAATGTTGCTGAACTCATATTTGGGTTCACATCACCTACTTTCCCTACTTCAACCTGTGACTTATAACTGCTAGACAGTTCATGAAGTCCAATAATTCCACAGATAAGCTACACATTGGTACTTCAGATAAGGATAATTAGAGGGGGGCTGTGTATTTTTCCCTTTGGCAAGTGCTTTTGTTGATCTAGCTAATTGTATTCATCTGCCTTATGTCAGCAGTAAAAAGAAATCCTGCAATTGTTCTTGACACATTGGCTCAGTGATACGACTACATGCATTAAAGATGTCAGATATTCTGATTAGTCACTACATCTTCATTATTACCTTACTATGTGCTGCTACTAATTAGAAGACATTTCCTACTCACATGAAGTTTATGGTTGGTTTAAATTCTTCTTCTTCATGCTTGTTCAAGTGTTCGTTCTGAATCAGGGAGATATTAATAATCTATATTTCTGCATACTAGTAACCAACATTAAGTGAATGCTTCATGTGTCAGGCCTTTTTCATTTAACTTCCCAGATCACAAATCCAGTAAGTAATCGAGCGAGGCTTGAACCCAGGCCTGGCTCCAAAGCATAGCTCAGCCCATACAATATTGTGTCTAGTAGAATTTCTGGATTAAACCTCTGCCTGTTATTTGAGCCTTCTTGGTCATGGTCATTACAAAGCCTCTACAGTTCATTCTAGAGTCTAGTTTCATAAAATAGCAAGCCTTTTGCACTTTATGGCTTTCAATTATTTTCCATTCTCTCCTAGAAATGGCATGTTTGTGTTGTGGTGACTCACCTACCTAGTAGAAAGTTTGTAAATTTTTCACCTGAAAACAGTGATTCAAAATTACATTTCTATGTACTTACATGCCAGTTAGACAAAAGAGCTATTTAGTCCAAGTCTTAAAAGGTTGTTTTCTCCCCTACTCTTTATAGGGTAAAAGGTACCAATGGGATGCAGAAACTCAAGGATGGATTCTCGGTTCTTTTTTTTACGGCTACATAATCACCCAGATTCCTGGAGGATATATTGCCAGCAAAGTGGGCGGGAAACTGCTGCTAGGATTTGGGATCCTTGGCACTGCCGTCTTCACCCTGTTCACTCCCATTGCTGCAGATTTTGGATTCGGAGCCCTCATTGTACTCAGGGCACTTGAAGGACTAGGAGAGGTAAGTTTTTTCTCTTTTGTTTTTCCTCTTTTCCTGTATCACTTTCTTGTCTCCTTAAAGATATCATATTTTGGTTTGAATATAAACCAAAAATTGACATCAGAAGATAATAAGGACTTATTTTTTAATTGGAAAAACGATAAATGGGGCACCTGGATGGCTCATTGGTTGAGTGTCCAACCCTTGATTTTGGCTCAGTTCATGATCCCAGGATCGTGGGATCCAGCCCTGCATCATGCTCAGCACCAGATAGATATTCTCAATCTCTCTCTCTCTGTCTCTATCTCTCTGTCCCTCTCCCCCGCACACACACATCCTCTCTCTCTCAAATTAAAAAGAAAAACAAAGAAAAGAGATTAACTAGGAAATAACTTGAGTAGATTTCATATCAGTGAGGTCAATGGGTTCTCAAGTGGGAACATGATGAAACTGGAAGCTTTGCTTAAAAATCAGAGAAAACATTTTCCAGGGAATACTTCACAGCTCTTCCTACTCACTCTTACTTCAGGAGATAAGAAAATAAATGACTAAAGGTGCCTGGATGGCTGTCAGTTAAACGTCTGACTCTGGCTCAGGTCATGATCTTAAGGTCTGTGAGTTCAAGCCCTGCATCCAGCTCCATGCTGACAGTTCAGAACCTGGAGCCTGCTTCAGATTCTGTGTCTCCCTCTTTCTCTGCCCCTCCCCCATGCATTCTCTGTCTCTGTCTCTTCTCTCTCTCTCAAATAACTAATAAAACATTTAAAATTTTTTAAAAAAGAAAAGACAAGACATGACTACTAAAATGGTTAAGATAAACTATCTTTACCTCTTGAAGTTTTGCAGGTTTATCTCTGCCTTATCATTAATTGATTCCTCAGATCTAAAACACATTTTACACAATGGTTTGTCAAATTGCCTTGTTTTACTTTTAAATGTGTTGTTATTCAGAGCTTCCTCTTTCTTCGTTTTTCTGGTTCTCAAACTTAGAGACAAGTAATTTATCATTTTATATAACTATCTATGGCTTTATGATTTTTCTGACCTTTCTGCTGCTTTGAGAATTGTTATTATCAGTCTTTATCTCTTTTTTCCTCTACTTCTAAGATTTTTATCACTTTTGAAAATTTTAATTCCTTATCTTTCATTTCCTTTCCACTTCTCTTGCATTTCATCATATGTACCTCTATCTTTAAATAATGATCTCTTTCTGTTTCTGACTTTGTGCTTCTACCTGTGAAATGGAAGCATATATTTATTTTTCCCTTACCATTTCTTTAACCCAAGCGAAATAGTGTCCTCTGGGTTTGGTGTATAGAATGAAAGTTAGTAGGTAACAATGTATCATGCTGTGTTGGAAAAACACTGACTAGAGTCATAAAATCAGATTTGAATAACAACTCCACTGTATCTAATGGTGAAACTATAGGTAAACCCTAATCTCTAGACCTCAGTTCCATCATTTTTAAGATTGGGACTAAAATACCCTCCCACATCTTCAGATGTGATAATGATTGCTAGAGTGCTTTAGAAATTGCCAAACACTGTGTAAATTTAAGCTTTGATCACCTAATAAGCAATCTTATTTTGTCCTTATCAAATAGAGATGTACTAAATAAGCTGTTTTGACTACAAAATAAAAATTACTCCCCCGTTATCAGGTTCCTCTTCTCCTTACCTAAGTAAAATATACTTAGTTGCAGCATATTTTCTCTGCTCCAGATATTGAATCTCCTTGCTGAATGTATTCCCGTATATTAGCTTCTTGTCTGTTTATGCCACTAATTTAGCATTATAGTATATTTGTTATATTATTACTACTATCTACTACTATCTCAAGTAACCGTGTTACATCTAAACAGAAGTCAAGTTGTGTTTGTTCTTTTTTCTCTCTTCCTCCAGTATATATCACATGTACATTGCCTAATCCATAAACTTAAGTCAGTATCATTCCTCCCTAGCATCTGATTCACCATAAATATACCTACATTGTCCCTAGAGTTTTATAATGAAATTTTCTACAACATAATCTCTGTAGATGTTTCCCAACACCTTAATCTTTATTCTGTAGTGACTCATCCTGTGGTTGCTCTATGAGACGAATTCTTATCAACTTGCAATGCTGCCTAAATCATTTGTGCCTTCTGTTGGTATTTCTTTCTTCCTTTTTTTTTGAAAGAATCAGCAGGAAGTACAAAGCATTATAGCACTTATTTTTGTCTCCATGAATAATAGCACTAGCTACCATTTAGCTTTACAACAATCATGGAAGATAAGAAGTATTGTATTTGTTTTACAGATAAAGAAATTGAAGTTCTAGGAAGTTAACTAATCTTTGTTAGGCTACACAGTTAATGGCCAAAGAGAGCTGTGAATCCACTTCTTTGAATCTACTTGAAATCTATTCCCTCTCACTCTTCCCCAGCATGTCGTCTTCCTCTCCCAAGTCTCTGTGACTCTCCTGCCTGCCCTGTTCCAGCCTCTTCATATCAGTAATTGGCATTTACTAGGCTAGTTATTACCGAAAGGGGTGTGGGGGGAGACTATAAACGCTCTAATCAAATTCATCAGGGTTTTTTGTAGGACATTTTTTCTTGTTGATTAAGGTCAATTTGAATTTTCTTCCATTATCCCAAAGTATTAACTCAGCATTTAAAAAAAAAATTTTAACATTTATTTATTTTTGAGACAGAGAGAGAAAGAACATAAGCAGGGGAGGGGCAGAGAGAGGGACACACACAGAATCTGAAGCAGGCTTCAGGCTCTGAGCTGTCAGCACAGAGCCCAACGCAGGGCTCTAACTTACACGGACCGAGAGATCATGACCTAAGTGCAGTTGGATGCTTTAACTGACTGAGCCACCCAGGCGCCCCAGCTCAGTATTTTAAAGTTATATATTGGTAGTAACATTCCTATTTCATTTAGGCCATTAATAAAGTAAATGAATAAAATTGACCTTGAGAGGGATTCCTTTATGTCATCATTCAGTGCATTCTTTTAGATTTATTGTAACCCTTAGGCTGGAGTCCTCAAGCCAGTTGACAGAATCAGTCTTTGTTGAGAGACTTTGAAAGTACTTCACTAGAAGGCGTTTTCACTCAAGACTATAAAGACAACTCACTTCATTGAACCTGACTCTAGTTTGATTCTTATCCAGAAATTTCTCTTACAACAAAATACTCAACCGAATTTAAAATATTCACTAATCTACCTTATATTTCAGCAGAAGTATCTTTTTCCTCTCCTCAGGGTGTTACATTTCCAGCTATGCATGCCATGTGGTCTTCCTGGGCTCCCCCTCTTGAACGAAGCAAGCTTCTTAGCATTTCATATGCAGGTAAGACAACCATTCTTCTAAAAACTTTGCCACATATATATATCAGCTTTGGATTAAAAAAAAAAAAAAAGCCTGCACACCAGAATGATGTCAGATGCCTCCTTTAGGTGAAAATTAAGTTTTAGAAAATTAATTTTACTATTAATTTTTTTCTTGGCTCAACATATAACAATGTGGCTTAGTTAATTAATATCATTTTCTACATCTGCCATCATTTATTTCAAAACATGTTGCTCATTCAGATGTGAATGCTACAGGGTTTTTTTTTTTTAAGGTCCAATAGCTGGAAAGTTGAACACTGTTGTCCTTAAATTGTGATTTCTAATTTTTTTTTTTTTGGTAAATGTTTGTTTATTTTTGAGAGAAAGATAAAGCACAAGCATGGGAGGGACAGACAGAGAGGGAGACAGAGAATTCCAAGCAGGCTCCACACTGCCAGCTTAGAGCCTGCTAAGGGGCTTAAACTCACAAACCATGAGATCATGACCTGAGCCGAAATCAAGTGTCAGACGCTTAACCAACTGAGCCACACAGGTGCCTTTTCTGATTTCTCATTTGATTGTCCAATGAGCATATCATGATTCTCAGCCTCTTTCTTCATACATCTTTTTTCTATGCATTTATTTGCCAACATTTTAATCTATGGGTGAGAGAGCATAAGCTTTATGTATGAATTATAATTTTACCAGATCACACACTGAATGAAAACTTTTGGACCTGACTGCTTTTAAATACGGTGGCTGAGAAAGACCTCTCTGTGGTGACTTTTAAGCTAAAATCTGAAGGATAAAAATGAATCAGTCATGCAAAGAGCAGAAGGAGGAACATTTAGCCAACCAGAACAGCATGTACAAGGGCTCTCAGGCAGGAAGTAACAGAGTTTAAAGAAATGAAAAACCACTGTGGGTAGCGAGCACTTAATGAATAAAGGGGATAATAGCATAAGGTGATGTTGGAAAAATAGACATGGACCAAATTATATCAGACAGAGGCCATAGGAAGAAATGTAGTTTTAGGGGGTTTTTTCCTCCTAAATATAATGGAGAGATATCAGAGGTTTTGAATCAAAAGAGAAACATGATCCAATTTACGTTTTAAGAAAATGATTCTTATAGCTATGTAGAGATTGAAATGAGAAATCTGATGATAAGTTCATGGGCAGGTACTACCTATGGTTCCTCTTTACCTATTGAGTGAAGTCTAAGCCTGAACTGTGGGGTCAAGATTCTTTAGTCTTCATCACTTCATTTCTGCTAGCCTGGTCCCTGGCACATAGTGTCTGAAGTGGAGTAGATATTCAATGACTATTTAACCTATTTTTCCAGCCTTTATTCCTATTCTTTCCTTCACCAGAGTGAAGTTCCCAGACTCTCTCTGCTTCCCGACATCCATTCCTTTACTCATCCTATTACATCTGCCTCCATATCATCTTTCTTACCTTGTTTCTACAGGATAAAAATCTCACCCATCTTTCGAAGTCTATTGCTGCTTCATATATCTTTTACTGACCTCTGGAAGTCAGAGTTAATCTGTCCCATATTTGAACTTCCACATTGTCCTGTGACACTTAACACTTTCTAAGATGTAATAACTGTTTATTTTTATCCCCTATGTAAGACTAAAACTTGACCAGAAACAGTATCTGATTATTTTAGCTGCCACTGTACCTACTAAGATATCTTCTATTTGGTGATTAAAATGAATTTCAGGGCACCTGAGTAGCTTAGTCGGTTAAGTGTCCAACTCTTGATTTCATCTCAGGTCATGATCCCAGGGTCGCGAGATCAAACCCTGCCTTGGGCTCTGCTCTGAGCATGAAGCCTGATTAAGACTCCCTCTCTCTCTCTTTTCCCCTCTTCCTTCTGCCCCTCTCTCCCATCCATGTTCTCTCTTTCTCAAAAAAAAAAGGGGGGGGGGAGAATTTCATTATTTATTTATCTTATTTTTTTAAAATTTTTTTTAATGTTTTATTTATTTCTAGGAGAGAGAGAGAGAGAGACAGCGTGAGCAGGGAAGGGTCAGAGAGAGAGGGAGTGACAGACTCTGAAACAGGCTCCAGGCTCTGAGCTGGTAGTCAGCACAGAGCCCGACGCGGGGCTCGAACCCACGAACCGCGAGATCATGACCTAAGCTAAAGTTGGACGCTTAACCAACTAAGCCACCCAGGCGCCCCTTATTTATTTTTCTTAAATAATTGTTTGTAATATATTTTGGGCAAATTACGTTACAAAAGCTTCATTCTTATTTCATCAAGTGTACTGCAGTACCTTATGTTATCAGCCTTAGAGGCCATCTTTGAACCTTTCCCCAAACACCTGGATTTCTAACACATTTATTAGTAATGTGGCATTTACTAGCTCATGTTATGATAGGTCCTATATTGATTGATACACTCTAATTCATCAACAACTACATAGTTGTAACTAATGTAATTACATATTAATGTGTGTGCTTTATATACTCTGGATTTCTAGTAAATGATTTCTTGAGAGAATCTGTTACCCATCTCCTTTAAGCAGTAAATCTGTCCTCTCCTTGTTCAGTTCTCCTCAAAGTTTATAAAATCTTTGTTGTTCTAGGAGCACAGCTTGGGACAGTAATTTCTCTTCCTCTTTCTGGAATAATTTGCTTCTATATGAATTGGACTTATGTCTTCTACCTTTTTGGTAAGCTTATCAAAAATTTAACGTAAATTATAATGTAGCAAATTCAAAATGTAATAGAAGTCTAATAATTGGTTGAAAATATATATTCCAACTCACTGAAGTTACCAAATCCTAAACTACAAAGTTCTAAAATACTGATAATCTGTTTTTTAACTTTGTATGGTTAAAATGATCTAGTTGTGATGTGATGTTAATTTTGTAATATTTCTCAATAGAAACTGCTGTTGAATTCAAGACTTTAATGCCATACCAAATATCAGAAATTACTCTGTTGGTTATTATGAAAATTTATATTTTGAAAAGATTTTTTTCTCAAGCAAAGTAGAATGCCCTCACTTGGTAGCTTTAATCTTTTTTCTTTCTAGTGAGTCCCAGGGCTTTTCATTTCTCAATCTCATTAGCAGGTTGATACATATTTTTAATAAATGAGATTGCCATGTAGACATCTCATGCAGAAAATACATCTGCAATCTAAACAGAAAACAAATCAAGCAAAACCAGATACCTGTGGAAATAATTGGTTGTGGACATTTATTTTTTTTAAATATTTGTCTGATAGACTCGAGAGGCAGACTCATGTGGTTAAAGTTGTTCTGTTCTCAACTTATAGGAAATAATACAGATAGCAAGTATCCCATAAAGAAATTATAAGTGGAACTTGAAACCAGCATTAAGCTGAAACTGATTTTACATTGAGTTTATGATTACATAATTTTTCAAGGCATGTTAAAATTACTGTCGGTACATTCTAATTTCATTTAATTTATTTTTCTATTCTAAGGTATAGTTGGCATCATTTGGTTTATTTTATGGATCTTATTAGTTAGTGATAAGCCTGAAACTCACAAGACAATCTCCCGCCATGAAAAAGAATATATTCTTTCATCATTAAAAAATCAGGTATGGACTTTGGCACATTTTTAAAACAATCTCAGGACCTTTTTCTTCTCCAAAATTGAGGTGCCAATTTTTTAAATAGATATTTCTATTGTGCATGCTCTGGGCAAAGTAGAGAGCAGGCAAATGAAATAAATGTATAAAGTAATGGTTTGTTTTGTCTGAAAAATTACGATTCTTTCAAGATTGAATATATGAAGTTAATTTTATGAGTCACTTTAACTTTTATTTTTTTTAAGTAATCTCTACACCCAGCGTGGGCTCGAACCCACAAGAGTCGATCAAGAGTTGCATTCTCTACCAACTGAGCCAGCCAGGCACCTCTATATGTTGCTTTAAACCTTCTAAAGTAATGATTATCAGTAAGTCTTAAGTTTGTTTTCTTAAGAGAAAATAAAATGTGTTGTTTGTGAAAGATCTTATAGCCACATTCTAAATGTTGTTGGAAAGCTAGTGTTTTTATCTACATTTTATTTGTTTGTTTGTTTTTCTCTTTTCTTTCTTCCCTTTCCCATCCCCTTTTCTGTAATTTAAGTGAGTATGCTTTAATAAGGAAGACAGCATATTTATTATAATATATAATATGATTTAGACCTACCTGTTGCTTCTCTAGAGTAGATCCTTAGGAAAAAAATTATGTTATTAATATGTAATATTAATAATGCACAATAGCATGTCAGAAGTAAAAGTCTGTCATAATTTAATACAACAAATCTTCAAGTCATGAAAACAAAATATTTGTCTTTGGGGAGAATAAAAGAAGAACATGAAAAGTTGGAAAAAATTAAAATATAAACAGTTTTTTCTTTAGCACCATTAATGACTTCATAGTTACTTTATTGGTTTAAGAACATAAAATATTTCATATAAAACTTTCCTTGCCCATTAAGTTATTATTATTGATATTTTCAATTTTTATATATAGTAAAAGAGGCAACAGTTAAACACTCATTCATATTTCTTTTTAAGTTTTTAAATTTTGTTACAAATGTTTCTACAAGCTGTTGAACTTTAAGAAATATGACATCTCTTGGTCTTAAGGTTGGCAAAAACTCAGAAGAAATAACAATATAATAAAGAAAGTTACTTTGAGTCCTCTGTGATGTCAATTAGACGCATCACTTACTTTTTCCCCTAAGGAACATATAAAAATAATTTAATGCATTGTAAACAGATCTTGCCATATAAAACTTGATATGTTGTATCATTTTTCTTAGCATTGATGGTCACCAGCTTACCTATTTCAGTACTTCATTGTATTACTTTTTTATGGACTTCTGAAAACTTTTTATTTAGATATTTTTTAAAGCTTTCTTTCTTGGGGCACCTGGGTGGATCAATCAGTTAAGCATCTGACTCTTGATCTCAGGGCTGTGAGTTCAAGCCCTGTGTTGGGGTCTGCACTGCTCATGATGCCTACTTAAACAAACAAAAAAACCTTGCTTTCTTGTTCTACCTTGATATGTGTCTAAATCTTTCCGTATCCAAATTTAAAGTTAATTTCTTTTTCCATATGCTTCAGAAAATGGAATATTCAGAAGCAAGAGAAGTCAAGAGAATTATGTATCACAGAATTCCAAACTACATTCTTAAAGCAGATGATGTTGTAGTTGAAAACGTCATAAAATAAATACAAGTTTCCTGGCTGGCTTAGTCAGTAGAGCATGCAACTCTTAATCTAAGGGTTGTGGGTTTGAGCCCCACACTGAGCAGAGAGTTTACTAAAAAAAAGAAAGAAAGAAAGAAAGAAGAGAAAAGGAAATGTTATAAAATAATGATGTGTTTCATGAAGCTCCACCTTTAAATCTTGGATCTAAGAAAGGTTCTTTGTCAAGTACTGAGGACTTAAAAATTAATATGAGAAAGAAAATGAACAAGACATGGTTCCTGTGGTACCTGTGAACTCTAAAAGGAGACAAGCATTGATGAAAATAATTTTAACATAATATATGCTGCTGTATAAAAACAAATGCTCTGTTGGGGCACCTGGGTGGCTCAGGAGTTTCAGCATCCAACTTCAGCTCAAGTCATGATCTCTTGGCTTGTGGATTAGAGCCCCATGTCAGGCTCTGTACTGACAGCTTGGAGACTGGAGCCTGCTTCAGATTCTGTCTGTCTGTCTGTCTGTCTCTCTCTCTCTCAAAAATAAATAAACATTTAAAAAATTGTTCAACAAAAAAATAACAAATGCTCCCTCTCCTTTTCCCCAAATCCCCTACATCTTTGATACAAAGTGGATAGCACAAGAGTGTATTCACCAAATCAAATAACAAGTCCCTAAGAAAAAGCCACAAGAAGGTTAATACTAGCTCTTCCTCTTTTTGAAATAACAGTGAGCCCTAGAGGCAGAAACATAGATTGCTTTATTAGCTTTTGAGAAACCGCAGAGCCTCAGTGTATAGGAAATGTAATAATCTGATGCTCCAGGTTACTGGAATCCAGGCTACTTAATCAGGCATCAATAAAAAGATGGGAGCTAACACTCTGAATACAGGTATATTTATTCATGGTTATGTACATGTACTACTGTACTTACATGTATTATAAAACATATAAAAAATAGCTTTTTAAAGAGTAAATAAACAGTATGTCATAACTTGTCTTTTTAATAGGAAAACCTTTTTATCACTTAAAAATTAGTAATAATGTTGTTTAATGGGAGCAGTGTTGAGTATGTTGTATTTGACGAGCCAACTATTATTTTGCTGGTGAGGTAGCTGACAAAGAACTCATATGAGGAAAAGTGTCAGGTTCACTATTAGTGTTCCTTTGTGCCAACATTATTAGAATTCTCTTCTTTTTTTTTTAAATTATTTTTAATGTTTTATTGATTTCTGAGAGAGAGACAGAGACAGTGTGAGCAGGGGAGGGTCAGAGAGAGAGGGAGACACAGAATCTGAAACAGGCTCCAGGCTCTGAGCTGTCAGCACAGAGCCCGACGCGGGACTCAAACCCAGAACCACGAGATCATGATCTGAGCTGAAGTCGGACGCTTAACCAACTGAGCCACCTAGGCGCCCCTAGAATTCTCTTTTATGACTTCCTCTGTAAAAATCTTTTGAAGACACTGTCAATTTTGTAGATTTGTTTTAATTGAAACTGGCTAACAAAATCCATAAACCCACTTAAAAAGGTGGCTAAAAACTGTAATATGTCGTGGTACACTGAGTGCAAACCAGAAAGTAAGGGTGCCATCAATCCCTTTGAATTGAGGAGACCATATAATATGCGATCGTTTGATACACTCCAGGGCCAACCTATTTATTAAATATTAATAGGACTTCTTTTTTTAGAATAAAATATAGATAAAAGTTCTAATATGTTTTTCCACACAGCAGTTAATCATCTTGTATCCCCTAAGATTTTTACACATTACTTTGAAGACCATTTCTCTGGAAGCTATATAAATAAACTTTCTATGACACAGTTCTTACAAATCATTATAATTGAGTAGAGATTAAACAGTGAATTATGAATTCTAATAGGACTTCCAATCTTATTCCTTTGCTCCTATGTCAGCCTCTGAATTTGGTTATGAAACTATTCCCTGTTTTATAGATGGAGAAATTAATACTGCAAGTGAATTCTGACATTCATGAGGGATGATTCAGGTTGACATTATAGCTCTAAGATTACATTTCTTTTTCTTTTAATCTGAATCATGGCTCTTTTAATATTTTGAAAGAGTTGTTTAAAACTCTGGAATTTACTAACCAAGGCTGGTAATGTGTTCTAGATGGAATTTTGGCTGATTAGGTGCAGATATAAACATAGCATATACAAAGTGTGCCTGTTTTTTGTTTCTTTCAGCTTTCTTCACAGAAATCAGTGCCATGGATACCCATGCTAAAATCACTGCCTCTTTGGGCTATTGTAGTTGCACATTTTTCTTACAACTGGACATTTTATACTTTATTGACATTATTGCCTACTTATATGAAGGAGATCCTAAGGTTCAATGTTCAAGAGGTAAGAAAAAAGAATCGTCCCCTTCTTATATAAAGTGTAACTATAGCCAGAATATGTTTTTATCTATATAAAATTCAGTTATTTTGTTTTACTCTCACATACTGAACTGCTCTTCTTGCTTCACAACTGTTCCTTCTTTTTTCAGTGTGTGTTAGTTCATGATTCACAGTACCTTTGGGCTGGTATCTCCCTTAACCATAAAAGTCTTATTAGTTCTTAGTAACATGCCAGGATATCAGACAAGTTCAAGTATACCCATATTCACTTCTCAAAGGAACAATGGTAGGACTCCGCTGGCAGCTGAGAGGGGACTTGGCAGACCTAAGGTCGCTCTGCAGCTTTATGTAGGCACTGGCAGAGCTATTGTTGCAAAGCTGTATAAGAAGAGCCTTCCTGAAACTGCCAATTCTTTTGAATCCATCAGATTGAGGCAGTTTCTATCAGAATCTCTGTGTCGATGGGTTTTGTCTTTAAAGAGCTTGAGGAAAAGCCTGAAGAGAAAGAGTCAGTTTGTAAGGAAAATTGGTGGTGTTTTTGCCTTCAAAATAAAGGACAGATCAAAGACATAAATGTGAGAACTAGACCAATAAAACTCTTAGAAAGTATACATCCTTGTGCCCTTGGCACACCAAAAGCATAAGTGGCCGAAGAAAAAAAATATATAAATTCGATTTCATCAAAATTTAAAACTTTTGTGCTGCAAAAGACATTATCAAGAATGAAAATCCACACAGACAAAAAGAATCCACTAAATGGGATAAAATATTTGCAAGTCATATTTCTTTTTTTTTTTTTAATTTTTTTTTTTTTTTCTAGGAGAGAGAGAGAGAGACAGCGTGAGCAGGGGAGGGTCAGAGAGAGAGGGAGTCACAGATTGAAACAGGCTCCAGGCTCTGAGCCGGCAGTCAGCACAGAGCCCGACGCGGGGCTCGAACCCACGAACCGCTAGATCATGACCTAAGTGAAAGTCAGACGCTTAACCGACTAAGCCACCCAGGCGCCCCGCAAGTCATATTTCTGATAAGGATTTAGTATCTAGAATATATAAGGAATATAAAAATATATGCTTTATATATTCTGGAATTCATACAACTCAATAAGACAACCCAATCTTTTTAATAGGCAAAGCATTTGAATAGACATTTCTCCAAAGAAGATATACAAATGACCAATAAGTCCATGTAAAAATGCTTCACATCATTAGTTATTACGAAAATGCAAATCAAAACTATAATGGGATACTACTTCACATCTTTGGAATAAAAAAAAAAAAATAACAGAAAATAACAAGTGCTGGTGAGAATGTAGGAAATGGAACCCTGTACATTGCTGATGGTAATGTAAGGTAGTGTAGCCACTGTGGAAAACAGTTTAGCAGTTCCTCAGAAAGTTAATATAAGACCCAGAACTCCCCTGGGTATAGATCCAAGAGAACCGAAAACATATATTCACACAAAAACATGTGCATGAATATTCATAACATCGTTACTCATGATAACCAAAAAGTGGCAACAGCCCAAATGTCTATCAGCTGATGAATGAATAAATGAAATATGGTGTATTCTACAATGGAACAACTCAGCCACAAAATGAAAGACGGCCCTGGAAGTAAAAGAGCAGCCCGGATGATGAATGTGAAGGCAGCAGGGCTGACTGCACAATTGAACTGGCTACACGGACAGACAGACAGCTTTAAACATTGTTAAAGTGAATCTCCAGGCACCTGTCTTCCAAAGCATACTGGAAACACTGGCTATGTGGATGGAAACTTAAACTTCACCCAAGCAACTATGCTGGGAAGAACTCTGGCTACTGTTGACAATCAAGATCAGCTATGCTCAAATATATCCACAAATTGCATTGACAGAAGTTAACCTGAAATGAAGCTTTGGCAATAGCATGGGGTGAGTTTGTCATGAGCAACCTTGTTTTCCTAAGCATTCTGTGAGTAGAGCCTGACTGTAATCTACTACTGTCTGATGAATTGTGTGGAAATTTAAAGATCATTCCACAGATGACTCTGTTTGAGATTTTCCAGGGAGAACTATGGAAAGAATGAAATATCAATTAGTGTTGTGCACTTAATTGCCTTCATCCATTTTTTCATCGATTTTTTTTTAAGTTCTATGAGAGATTTTAAAACCAGAATCATATGGGGCGCCTGGGTGGCTTAGTCAGTTAAGCGTCCGACTTTCGCTTAGGTCACGATCTCAAGGTTCGTGGGTTCGAATCCCGCATCGAGCTCTGTGCTGACTGCCAGCTCAGAGCCTGGAGCCTGTTTCAGTCTGTGACTCCCTGTCTCTCTGACCCTCCCCTGCTCATGCTGTCTCTCTCTCTCTCTCCTAGAAATAAATTAAAATAGGGGCGCCTGGGTGGCTTAGTCGGTTAAGCGTCCGACTTTCGCTTAGGTCATGATCTCGCGGTT